CAGGCACATGGCAAACGCCCCCTAAATGTCAGCTTGGCGTTGATTATACAGGCCCACCTCATCTTACCGCGCTTCGCTTTACTGCGCTTCACAGCTGTGGCACTTTCTACAAACTGAAGGCCAGACCCTCCACCAGCAAACAGATTATGACTTCCTTCATCGCAATAGTCTAGTGCAGTGCTCTGGAAGCAAGCCTGCAGCCCCTCCAAGGGGGCGCCTGTATAACGCCCTCTGAGACCTGGCTGCAAGGCTGCGCCCTCCTGACTGAGGCGTGAGGAGGGCCTCACTGGAGGGAGTGGCCGAGCATTAAGTGAGCACCAGCTGCGTGCTGGTTGCAGCTGTCTGAGGTGGTCTCAACCCCATTTTATGGATGAGAAGGCTGAGGTTCAGACATGATAAATTAACCATGGTGACACTCAGGAAGCGGCAGAGCAGGGATCTGACCTCAGAACTGTGGTTCCAGAGACAAGATTCTGCCGCCCCATGTTACAGGTCAGAGGGTTTCTTGATGAGCCTAAAATTAAGGCCACAGGAGTTTGACATTCTCAAAGCAAAATTGGTGCTTGTCCTTCATTCTATAGCCCAACAATCCAAGGCAGTTTACTGAGGCTCAAATCAGGGCGAGTCAGCACCAACAAATTACTCCTCCCCAGCCCCTGTTCTATTTTATTAGTCCCCAAGAGTTCTTTAACTTGTCATTCTAGTCACAGCACCATTGAATACATTATGGCAGCTCTATATTCAGGTCATGCCTTCCTAAGAAGAAACTGGATTGGATTTGAAGGGCCCACTTGTCTCACCTAAGGGTGGATGAGAAGCCACTGTCCCTGTCCCCTCGTGTGGCGCTCAGCACATGTTCTAGTCTGCAGTGAAGTGGGGTCCCGCTTCAAAGCAGTTCCTTAGGGGCAGAGACTTATCTGGAAATATTTCTAGACTCAGCAACAGCAGCGATTGTGCTGACATCGCCATGGAGCTTCCTGAGGGGAACTGGGAGCTCCCAGAATCCAGGAGCACGTGAGAGGCAGCTCTGAGTACCCTGCTCCAGCCCCAGGGCTGCACTCCAGCTGTTTTTCTAGGTCACATTCTCCCCCCTTGGCTGTGACATGTGGTAAGACGAAGGATCTGGGGGAGGGGCGTGTCAGAGACCCCTGGGCTTCCATTTGGAGAGGGCAGGTACCTGGTTTGAAAGTTTCCTCTCATACTGCCCTGCCCGCCAGCCCCCCCGGGGGGGGGGGGGGGCGATCCTCTGAAAGGAAACTGGGACCCTGACAGGAGAGGGGGGTGGATTCTGGGTGGCCAAACACGGCAGCATCCGTTACCTCTTGCTTACTTGATAAAGCGGAAATATCTGAATGGACAACCTGAAAACATGGTTTCGCTCAGCTCCCAGCTTCTGCTGAATCCCCCTCCCCGCATCCCGCACTCTGCTCTGCCTCTCCCTCCTGCCACCAGGGGGATGGAGTCGCCAGAGGCAGAATGGACTGTTGGAAAGGCCCAGGGTTCTAGGCAAAGGCCACCAATGGCCCACATGTGAGCTGAGGAAGGCTGTTTGCTCTTCCGAAAAAGATAAAAGCAATCTGCTCCATCTATAGCAAAGTTCAAGTGACGTGTGGGAAGATGCTTTACAAAGTAACATGTTACCAACCAGAGCCTGCCATGCGGAGGGGGAGGGAAGGTGTTTGTGGAAGAGGAAAGCAGACAGGGGCCTCATCAATGATGAATGCTTCAGTGAATAAATAATTCAGAGCTTTAGGGATCCTCTCAAAAGCTGTATGTTCCTACTGAGCTCTGCCTGCTGAAAATGTTTTTCCAAGGCGCATCTCTGGAGTCAGATGCCTGTGATGTGCCCAGAGATGCCAAAAAGGCCTCCTGATGCGCTGTCCTCTGGGCAGCGCAGGGCCACCTCCAGGCCCCCAGGGAGCCTGAGCCCTGCTGAGCTCCCCGAGGGCAGCCCCATCATCAGAGCGCTCATCCCAGCGGCCCTCCTCTGGGGTGTCCATGGCCATCTTTCTGCCACCAGGGTCCTCCACACCCTGACACTCTGTAAAACCTTCCCCAGCTCCCCGAGGAGAATGGCAGTTGGTCTCACCTTATTTCCACGCATGGGTGTTTTTCTGTCTCCATTACTCCTCAGGTCAAGGTTATGTTCTGTCCACTCCATGTACTCCTTAGTGCAGTGCTTAGAACAGAATAGGTATTACCATCTTTTCTTTGAAGTCACTATCTTTTTTAGGTAAACTTTCTATGGGCAGAAATGTTCACAAGCCCTATGTGCACAGCTAGGTTAATTCACCAAGTGAACACACCTGTATAACCAGCACCCGGATCAAATAGAAATGGTCAGCACCCCAAAGGTCCCAGGTCCAGGTCAAGCCATGCTGGGCATAAAGCCAAAATGACTTGGCAACGAGGGTAACATCAGATGATGCCCAAAGGGCTGAGCTCTGGCTCCTCAATGCCACCACCTAGAGCCGGGCTGGTCTCAGTCTGGGGTGGGCCTGGGACAGCCTTGGGGCCTCAGCTGTGGGTGGAGAGACAGGTGAGGGAGATGAAAAGCCTGAGCAGGATCAGGGCAGGTTTGACTGCATAGGCTCAATGAGCTGAACAAGTAACACCTGCTGGGTTTGGAGCTCTGGCCCTGCTACTCACCTAACTCACCTGGCTGGATGGTTGACTTAGCTCTTGGTTGCTTCAGCCACAAACTCACAGAATTATCCTACCCCATCTACCACAGAGTTACTGGATACGGCAGGTAAGTTGACATCTGGGGAAAATGCTTGTTAAGTCCCCATCCAGACATGTGGTGCTTTGCTGATCCACGGTGCTGCGCTTTCTGCCATCACCTTGCAGTGATGCTCTAGATCTGTTTCTTGGGATAAATCATCTGGGATTTTACTAGGTGACAGGCTAGGTGTCACAGGGGGCTAAGATGTCCCACCAGAGCCCCCCCCCCCAGCTTTCCGATCTCCCATCTCCAAATTCACATGCAGAGCTTCAGGCTGGGGATGGAGAAAGACAAGAAACAAATCCTCTCCTCTCTCTCCAACCCACTAGCCCAGGAACTTTCCGGCCATAGTTGGAAATCTGGAATGGGGTCACTCCTCAGCAGAGGCCAGTTAGTTCCAGGGCACACACTGCCCGGTTCAGCCTTTAGTCTCGTCCAGCAGGTGCATGTGCAGGTGAGATGCCACCCAGACGCGTGGGATTGCCACTTCCATCCCACACACCCAGCAAAGTCTGCACTCACGCTCCAGGACGCATCGTCTTCAGCATAACTTACTGGGTTTCCTTCCGAATTTAAAAGGAATATCAATTCATTTTAGAAAACTAGGAAAATTCGAAACGGCAAACAAAACCACCATTAATGTCTACACATATTTACTTTGCCTTGCTTTTCACTTGTATTCCCATCCAATTCCCATATCCGCCTGGTTCCCGAAGGATTCCATCTGACCTCCAGTTGCCGCTCCTTGACCCTGCTGTGGCAAACCTGAGCCCGGAGTTCCTGTCTTACCCACAGTTCTGTGTCAGCACACAACGGGGCTGGCACACCAAGAGTTAAAGGCATTACCAGTTCCCCGTGATTGAGCTGTAATGAGGATGAGAGGCTAAATTAACGTTTATTGCAGAATTTAAGTGTGTGTAGTCAGCAATTGTAGGAGGCTACAATGAAATACCTTCTAGAACTTGGCAATACAATTATCTAGAGTTAAATTAGTAGAATGCACACAGAGTAGATGAGATTAGCTGTCTGCAGAAGTCACTTTAAAAGACAAGTTATCTTTTGTGAAGACAGAAAGGGCTTGCCTTGAATGCTAGTCAAGATGTGATTAAACATGGAAGAAGCAATTGCAGAATACAAGCTCTGAGATATTTGCCAAAAGACTGTGTGTGTGTGTGTGTGTGTGTGTGTGTGTGTGTTGGGGGGAGGTCTGTATGAGGCACAGACAAGGGGCAGAGAGGAAGGAAGCCTAGTGTCTGTCCAACAACTGCCTGCCTGGAGAGCAGCCGCCCTGGGGGAGGCCTGAGGCCCCCACCCGCCGGTGGGGAGGTTCGCTGGGTGAAAGACAGGAATGGAGCACCTGCTGCTGCCCTCCCAGGCTCACCAAGCAGCCTCCTGACTCAGCCTCCAAGTGCCTTGGGGGTGGGAAGGGAGCTGCAGGGTGGACATACCAGCAAAGGGCCGAGACGGTGAGCTCTAGAGCCAGAGTGACTGGGTTCAAATCCTGACTCCCACTACTTACAAGTGGTGCCACTTGGGGCAAAGATGTTTACTTCCTGAGTTCTCTTCCTGCTTTGTGAAATGGGGATGCTGAAACCTCCCTCAGAGGGTTGCTGTGGGGATTACTCACAGAAAGCAGTAAAGTAGCTGTTGAGCTAAAATTAATACTACTAACTGATATTATTACTGTTACTAATAAGATAACTCATTTAGCAGTCCCCATTGAGGTTGCTCAATAAAAGCCAATCCCAGAAGTTGTTCTTTCCTGGGTGTGCTGAATGTGGAAATTGAGGTCCTGGATTTGCCAGGCTGAGGTATGGACCCTGGACCTCGGTGACCAAGTGACTGCTCCGCAAGGACCTGTGTTTGGTTCTTGCATGGCATGTGTGAACTGAATACAAAGCTTGTAGCTTTGTGTGAAATAAATTCTGTTTGTGGGGGGATGCAAGTTTTATTTGTATAAACCTAATGTAGCCAACAAAAAAGTTCTTATTACAAAAGGTTCTGGGAGTTATGACTGGTGACCATGATTGTATATTATGGATAATAACATTTACCTGCACTTCATAAAGGTTTTGTATATAGTTTAAATGGGATAAGGATGTAAACTGCTTATTTCCTGGCACAAGGTGAGCGCTCAATATAAATTTCACATTTTACGAATGTGGGGTTTGGTTTTGTTCAGTTCACACTGTGGTGTTTTTTTAAATCAGACAGAGCCTCTCTAAAGGGGGGACTGCAGGGAGAAAATATCCCAAACTCCAAAATACCAAATTTGTGCTGGTACAAAAGAAAAAGAAAACACATTTATTTTACAAGGTAGTATTTTCCTAACATATTATACATAAAGGAAATTTTCTATAGGAAAACAATATTTTAGGAAATTACAGAATGGTCAACATTATGCTTAAAACTTTAAAATAGGTTTAAAAAATCGCACAGTGAGTGCATATTGAAAGGTATGAACAGCCTTAAAAAGTGGATGACACAGTGATATGGAAGCTCAATATTAAAACCTCTAGTGATGATTTGCTTTCAGACTTGTTCGGACAAGTCTATTAAGAGAGCACTGCTTCAATCTTAATAGAAAAAGAACTCAAAGCACTAATAGAAACATGGCCCTTTCCTAATACAGTCAACTCTCAATTATCCATAATAATAAAAGGGAGCAGGGACATAAAATTTTTAAAAGGTAAACTATTCCAAAATTAATTTTGAGAAATGTTGTTGTACTTGTTTGGATGTGAGAAATGCTGCATCCCTAGAGTGACAGCACTGATTCAGAGAGAACTCACACTTCTTCCTCCACTCTTCTCAGTGGGAAGTGACACAATCACATACTACTTTCTGAAAAGCCTAAAATACAACTGGCCTCCTTAATTCTGGCTCACACCTCCTCTGGAGAGTGGAGTAGGCAAGAAAACTGTTAAAATTTTGTTTTCCTCACATAAAAAGCCAAAATGTTTCAATAAAATTTTGCAAACAAGATGAAATAATTAAGAGCTGACTGTATAAATATTATTTTAACTTATGTTTTTTTTTCCTTGCCTAGTAGTATTTATACAGCCAAACGTATCTGGATAGTTCGACAGTTTTCTAAATTATCTGGCTGCATCCTACTACCCAGAGAAATGTGCATAAAAGGAGTTTGTTATGATCAGTTCCAAAAGAATTATGATGTTTCAAACAGGCCAGGAAATGAAGGTTAAGAAATAAAACTACCATCCCCAAGACAGAATTGAATCCTAGATCAAATCCAAAAGGTACTTCAGGACAACAACATCACAGTCTGGTTCTTGTTTTGGTGGTTTTATTTTGTATAGTACTACCTTGAACTACAAGTTTTTCCTTTCCAGGAAAGCAACTGTTTTACTTCAGGGTTATTCCTCAAATTCTCTTTTCAAATCTTGAAAATTACAAGGTAAAAAATAACCTAGATTTGATTGTAAAGCCTTATTTGTTAATGTACCAACTAGTTATAACCACAAAGCATTTTAATTGCTTTGTCATTTCTCAGAAAAGTAATGAGCACATTTGAAACTTAAAATTCTAAAATAAATCTTAGATAAGAAAGCTAAATTCCACACAGCACTTATTTTGTATCTTCTACCTAATAGCTTTTACACCAGCTTTCAAAAAATAGGAATGGTGCCAGGTTTCTACCAAAGCCCAAAAAAGCAGTGTCTCTGTCCACACAGCCCAACCCTCTCCTCCAAGCGAGCATACCACCAGGTCCAAATTATAAAGCTTTCATATCTCTCAGTGTACAAGTATTAACCAAAGGCTACTTAATATGACTGTGTCTGATATCTATAATACATGTTGCAGTCTAAACATTTTCTAAAGTGCCTATAAATATGCTTATACAAATGAGCAATATAATATCAGGATTACAGAGAAGTTCTTTTATATAATATAGAACAGAACAGGCCTAGAATTTAAATTGAAACTACACATTTTTATATCCTTATCAGTTGTTTTTGGAATGCAAGCATAAAGAAACGATTCCGGTTCAATCATATATGATTTTCTAGAGAAGTATTAATATTAACAGTGCTAGGACAGAAGAAACTCTTGCTTGTGCTTATTTAGAAAAGGTTGTTTTGAGATCCAGGAGCATCTGATATTTAGAATCCAATGGAACATCTCCAATTGTATAAAATAGATCATAGTAAGTGAAGCTTAGTGAGTTTTTAATTATAAAGAGATTGTGCAAATATTTAAAGTGATAGCAACATTATTAAATCCAAAAATTCCATTAAAATCGTGGCTCATCTGAATGGCAGTTCAAGAGTTTAAAAAACAAGAACCTAGGCAAAAGTCACAGATATTATTGACAAAGGGCCCAACCCTGACAGAGCCAGCTTCAGAAAAGTGGCTCTGTGACCATGTATCTCCATGGCTTTTGAGACCTGGTGGTTGACTCCAATTAGTTTACGGGACAGGCATGTGGGCCCAGGGTAGAGAACTGATAGGAATGGCGGAGAGAAGGAGGACCCTCCGTATGCCCACCGGGGGATGCAGTAAGCTCACCCACGGGTGTACGTGTACCCCGGGCCCTGGGGTTGCTGTGACCACACTGAGGACTCAATCAGGGAGGCACTCAGAACCTCAGGCCGGGGCTCATGAGGTGTCTGTCCCTAAGCCACCTGGGCAAGGCGGGCCAGGCGGGTGGGGGAGCCCTCGCTGCACCCCCGCCTCACCTGCCCGCTCCTGTTCCTGGAGGTCCTCTCACCACCTGACTGGTTTCACTTGTTGGATCCTTACAGTTCAGTCAGTGGGAACTTTATGCTACATTTTCATCTAGTGTAGACAGTTTTAACGAACACTGTTCTCAAAGGAATATGCACACGCTGCTTTCTAAACCCCGTGGATGTCTGGGCACCTAAACCCAACAAAGTGTTCTGGCCACTTGAACTGCACATACGACTCAGGAAGCAGACGCTGCCTAGAGTGATCTGTGAAAGCAGCCCAATGGAGGCCTCTCCCTGTTTCTTAAAACACAGACTAATGTGACACAAAAGAGATATGCCATGATGCTGACAGAGCACGAGATAATACCACGGGAGAGAACTCACGGGTAGTTAGGATATAAGAAATAGTTCTCTGTCTCCAACTTTGATAGTTCTAGCTCCATTAGGCCATATTTTAAATTTCTTGGATTCTTAACTATGCCTCCCAGAGAGCAGATGTGGAGAAATGGCAGATAACCAACTCACACAAGAACACACCTGGTAGAAACAGCGATTAGGAGGAGAATTCTGAAGGGATCTAAATAAGAAAGAATTATTCACTATTTTGCATGTGTGAGAAAAGAGAACATGTACAACAGATCATGAATATTACTGTAGTAAAGTGAATATTACACAAAATATTTTCTCCTGACTTAGCAGGGAACTGTTTCAACTGCTTTTGCATTTGCATAAAAAAACCCATGCATCATACTGAATTCTAATCCATTTCTCACCTAAGCCATTCTAAAGCTTCATACAACCAAATGAAGCAGAATTAATCAAACCTATTAGATTCATTCCTAATCCCTAAAGGACTGCTGTCTTTAGCATTTCCATGCTAACTAAAACTATTATTGTTTATTTTCTTAAGACGTCAGATGTGGCTGCCTCCTAAACATAATACCTATGTAACTTCCTAAAAGTTTTCCCCAGATTTGAAGAACTACTAAGAAAAGCATGGAAATGTTGGGGGAACCCCCTAAGAGACCAGCTCAAATACTGCAACACATTCCCCAGCTACAAGCCAAGTACATCTCTCCTTGCTGTGGGTTCCCAGAGCATGCTGGGTACTGTTACCTGCATGTGTTATCTCCCCTATTGGACTGTAGGTCCCTTCATATGGGGAGGCAGGTCTTATTCATTCTGTATCCCCATAGCGCCCTGCAAAGTGTAGGCACTCAGCTAAAGATAGATTGAGCAAGAAATTGAAGATGTCATCTCTTCTTAAACGAAGGTCTAGCTCAGCCCCAGGTCATGGAGGGTTGTGCAGACACTGGCCGTAATTAGAGGCCGAGCTGGCCTCCAGTACCTTCCTAGAAGCCAGCCAGACAACATTGGCCCAGACCCATGCAGATGGTGGGGGAAAGGGGAAAGGGGCACAGTAGCATCTACCAGTGCACACTCTGCTCCCCTCACGTGAGCTGATTCCCATGTGGCACTAGCAGGGCAGTCGGGGTGCCTGTCAGCACGCCAAAAGGAATGCCAAGAGCTTTTCTGTGAAGAGCCGGCTATTTAGAAAATCCTGTCTCTTTCACTCTGGGTAGCTCCTCAACCTGATCCATGACACTCTGTGATCATCACATTATCGCTTGCAAAGCTCCCCATGAAATTAAGGCTGGGCCACAATGCATGACACCAGATGCTATGTAGAAAGGAAGTCAAGATACAAAAGAAAACCGTTTATAAGAAAAAGCGTATCTTAGTTATAACTAAGACTAATTTAAGAATGAAGCTAATCAGCAGACCACTGAACTGCTATGGTTAGAGACAGGTAGAAAATACCAACTGCACTGGGAAAAGGGTCCATCAGACAAAAGTACAAAAGCTCAGTGTGGATCAGAAGGTCGGCTTCCTGCCCGCCTCTCAAACGGTGGTTTCTATCGTTTCAATCACTTCCAGATCGGACTGCGATGGGGACAGAAGGGTGCACTCGTCTGGTTCCCAGCTGCTCTCTGGACTGTAATCTTCCTCTGAACTCAGTTCCGCTCCTTCTTCTGTGTCCTCATCACACGATTCCACATAGTGAGCCCCAATCGCATTGATCCCAGAGTCCTCAGAACTTGAGGGAGAAGAGCAGTGATCTATTTTTGGTGTATTGCTCTCTTTTGAAATTAAGGCATCGTGTGCAGAGACCTCCTCAGAGCTCATTTTGTGGGAATGTGGTGCTGGCTGCTTCTGCACGTAACACATCTTCCCATTAATACATTTAACCTGATAGTTGTCAATAAAGAGGTCTGAGATCATACAGTACCTTGGTGAGTCAGGCGGGAGGGGAGGCTGGAAGACAGATGCAAATTTCAGAAAGTGTTCAGTGAGTGAGACTGAGATCTGAATGGTGTTGGTGGGCTCCCGCGGCTTCGCAGGAATCTCAGTGCTTGGCAGCTGTTCCACAGGAGTCATGGGCTGATACACGTATTTGCCTGTGGGGAACACAGCAAAGGCGGTCAAAACCCGAGAGTGTGGCACCAGCTACAAGAACGCAGCCATACTGGTTTCCTTCTGAGGCGCTTTCAATAGCATCTCAAAACAAACCAGTAATAGAATCATACCACATTGTTATAATCAATTAAAAACAGAGCATGATACATAACACATCAAGGTATTTTCATCTAAGAAACTCAACACACTTGACAAATCTTAATTTATATTTGAGTCTTTCTAATGCCCCTGGAGTAAGTGGGTGGATACCATGCTCCTTATTTTAGAGATAACTTTAAATGATTTACCCCTCATACTAGACAGAATCAAAAATGTCCATGATATAGTATAGTAAAAACACAAGTTGTAAAACGGTATAATATACAATAAAATTATAATTCCATTTTTATCTTTAATAATTATATGTTAATAATATATGCATTTACAAACTGGAGAAATACCTACCAATTTATTAGCAGGATTACGGAAGACTTTGACTTTTTAGGTTTCTATGTTTTAATCACAACACACACACACACACACACACACACTCTCTTAACAGGTGATGGCCTACAGGACTGAGCTGCCACTCTCAATGGCTGGGGTAAGTAAGATGTAGGGTGTGAAACAATCTCTTTCAAGACCAAAGCTCATGGGTGGCCTGAGTAGGAGACGTTCTCCCTGACACCAGCTCCACTGGTACAAGCAACGTAAGCCAAGCAGAAGCAAAGGCACAGGTGAGCGCAGGGGGTGGGCGGCCTGCTGGATGGAGTGTCTAGGAAACCAGGAAGCTTATCTCCAAACCTTCCCATCTGCCCTGAACCCTCAGTGTTTCTCACATAGTTGACATGGAAGTGAAACCTAAGTGGATCTGTTCCTGATGTGTCTTTTTCCTTCTCTTTGACTTCCCTCAATATCTCACAAAGCCTCCCCTGTACCAAGTGCTAAGGAAATAGAGACAGAGATGAAAATTACTCAGTCTGAATCTAAAAAGATTTCAAAACAGAAATATGGAAGAAAAAACAACAACCCTGAAAAACCTAGAGACAGCCCCATCTTGGGTTTTTCTTAACGGAGTTGATGCCTCAGTCTGTACCGTATCTTCTGCCTGTATTCATGACAGGGTTTTTAAACCTCAGCACTACTGGCATTTTGGACCAGGCAATTCTTTGATGCAGGAGGCTTCCTAGACAATGTAGGATGTTTAGCAGCATCCTTGGCCTCTACCCCACTCGATGCCAGTAGCACCTTCTCCCCAGGTATGATGATCAAAAATGTCTCCAGACATTGTCACATACATCCTGGGGGGCAAAATCACTCTGGCTGGGCATCAGTGATTTCTGACACCCTCATGAGCATCTCCGCAGGCAAAACACTCATTGTGCTTGGCTCCTGCTCCTGTTTGTTTTATTTCTTGGTCCGATTGAAAATTCTAGGATAGGAATCACATTTATAATGAAAACTACCTTAGATTGTTTAAATAATTAAACAGAATAGCAATTCCAGATCAGAAATGTGAGCAGCAAACAAGCCACAAACAGTGCGACATTAGTAATCTATTAGAGACTAATCAAGCCTGCCTGTAATTTTTACTTCTGTTTTTGACTAATGTACAAAAAAGTAGGCTTAGATGCCATAATTTCTTTGTAACTAAATTACCTCAAAATGTATTCAGCTTCATTCTGGAGTAACACATGGAAAAGGTACATTTAAAACTGTTAAGCCTTTGGGCTTCTAGGTTTGCTTCCAAGACATACGCCATGCCAACCCTATGGTCTGATAAAAATACAAGAACCTGTCCTACCTGCCTGGGAGACTATGTTTAAAATATTCCAGGTGTCTTCATTTCTGTTACCTGTAAAACAAGGTACTACTCCTTCTCAGGCAAAGTTCTAATTAGGTCAAATCTAACAGTTTGGCACAGTAGGACCTCGGCCTCCAAGCATGATGTACAGGCTTATCAACTGAAGGGAAACAAGGCAGACCCTCCAATCCGCCAGCCCCAGGGTTAGAGAAAGACATGTCCAGAGATGGGACTTGGAGAACGTGGAGGACTACTCCATTCTGTCTACAGGATGGTGAACAAAACATCTAGAATGGAGGTTTGGTCTTTTCTGTTCTTGACCAGTAGACCCGTGGTCAATGAGTTCAGGAGACCGTGGATGGTGGGCACTCAAGAAATGCTTGTTGCAGAATGCTAAATAAGCCCATTCCAGCCCAAGCGACCTCTGGTTTAGTTACCTACTTGTCACAGCCATACGAGGTTCCTGGCAATTGATCCTCAGACCCAGACAGGTCAGGGCTTTCTTGAGTCCAAAGATGAACTTAAGGAGATAAAGCCTGCTTTTGGGACTTCTCTAACAACCTCTACTCTCATTTAACCCCTCGCCTCACTGCCTCTTCCTTTCCCTCCTTTGTGTTTTAATTCATTTTTTTGCTTTTTCTCTTCTTCTCGGTTCTTTCTACCTCTTTCTTTCTCTAATCCTCTCTCCTCCGAAGCGCTCTTTTTCTTCCTTGAAGTACAGTAAAAAAACAAAACAAAACAAAACAGAAATGCAGCTGGCAGAGGATAATGAAGACTGCATTCCAGACTCCATTTCCTTCTACAAGTTACACTTACTAAATGTACTTGCTCAGAACTAGCAGACAGCCCATTATCTGGTGATGTGGGATACAGATAAAAGGAGGATGGCAAAGAAGAAAAAAACAGTAAAGATGGCCAGGTGAGAAAGTTTAGTGAACATCTTTCAAATATTATTATATAATACTGTATTGTTTGATTTGCTTAGAAACACATAAATAACAAAACAAACTCCTATCAAGGATTTAGTTTTGTAAACAATCCAGAGGGGTAAGTACGTTGCCCCAGCCCCTAATAACTTCTACCCTCTGTACACTATGCTGTGAATCCATGTTAACAATGACAGCCCTGAAGCATCACAAGATCCTGAATTGTCAGAGAGTCCGTTATGTCCACTCTACTGTACTTATGAAGAATAAAACGAACTAACACACTTCTGCAATCGCAAGGATTGAAACAAAAGGGTTTCTGGCCACTTAGCCAGGAAATTCAAAAAGCTAGTACTTCGTTCTCTAAACAATCTTCTTAATTAAGGATTTACTACATTGCTTAAAGAAATTAAATCTCTAAAAGGAAAAGATGTTCAGAGAGTCAGGGCTTGGAGAAGAGCAAGGTAGAGAGAGAGTAAAAGGAGAACCTAGATACAGTATGATCCAGCAATTCCACTTCTGGGTATATGCCCGAAAGAATGGAAAGCAGGTCTCGAAGAGACGCCATGCTCACAGCAGCATCAGTCACAACAGCCAAAAGGTGGAAGCAACCCAACCCAAATGTCCACGATAAATGGATAAACAAGATGTGGTGTATACATACAGTGGAATATTATTCAGCCTTAAAGCATAAGGAAATCAATACTACAACACTGATGAACCTTGAAGACATACTAAGTGAAATAAGTCAGTCACGAAAAGACAAATACTCCATGATTCCATTCATATGAGGCACCAAGAGTAGTCAAATTCAAAGAGACAGAAAGTAGAATGGTATTTCCAGGGGATAGGGGATAAGAGGGAACAGGAGTTGTTCAATGGGTATAGAGTTACAGTTTTGCAGGATGAAAGAGTTCTGGAGATGGATGGTGGTGATGGCTGCACAATAATATGAATGTAGTTGATACCACTGAACGCTATACTTAAAAATGGTTATGATGGTAAATTTTATGTTATGTGTATTTTGTCACAATTAAAAAAATAATAATTGGCATAATTCACTATATTAACAGACTGGAAGGAAAACTCCATATGATCCAGAATATCTAAAGAATTCTTATAACTCAATAATAAACTCAATTTTTAAAGGGGTATGGCTGTACAAGGGTAACATGAGGGGGCCTTGTAATGAGGGAAATGGCTGTCACTTCACTGTATCAATACCACTATCTTGGTTATGACACTGTACTATTATTTTTTTTTTTTAGCTGAGCCATCCTGCCACCTGTTGGCAGCTCAGCGGCTGCTCAGCTCGGGTCGGGACTTGAACCACTGTTGCTCAGAGCTCAAACTCTTGAGCGAGCTCTTAACCAACTGAGCCACTCGGCCGGCCCTTGTACTATTATTTTGCAACTACAGTTGTCATTGGAGGAAAGTAGGTTAAAAAATACATGGGATCTCTCTGCATTTTTTTAATGCACTTTTGGTGGGAATGTAAATTGGTACAGCCATTATGGAAAACAGTACAGAGATTACTCAAAAAATTAAAAATAGATCTACCTTATGACCCAGCAACTCCACTTCTGGGTATTTATCTGAAGAAAATGAAAACACTAATTCAAAAGGATATATGCACCCCCATGTTCATTGCACTATTATTTACAATAGCCAAGATATGGAAACAACCTAAGTGTAACACTGATGAATAAATGGATAAAGAAAATGTGGTATGTATACACAATGCAATATTATTCAGCCATAAAAAAGAATGAAATATTGCCATTTGTGACAACATGAGTAGACCTTGAGGGCATTACTCTAAGTGAAATAAGTCAGAGAAAGGCAGACACCATATGATCTCACTTATATGTGGAATCTAAAATTTAAAAAAGCCAACCTCATAGATACAGAGAACAGATTGGTGGTTGCCAGAGGTAGAGGGTGGGGGGTGGACAGAATGGGTGAAGGGAGTGAAAAGATACAAACTTCCAGTTATAAAATAAATAAGTCATGGGATGTAATGTACAGCATGGCAACTATAGTTAATAATACTGTATTGCATTTGAAAGTTACTAAGAAGGTAAATTCTAAAAGTTCTCATCACAAGAAAAATAATCTGTAACTATGCATATATGGAGGCAGATGTTAACTAGTTTTTATGGTGATCATTTTGCAATATACAAATGACAAATCATTATGTTGTACACCTGGAACTAATATAATGCTGTATGTCAATTAAACCTCAAAAAAACTGCATGTGAATATAATTTTT